GGATTATCTTTTAGTTCTCAATGCCCATTTCTCTTTAAACTTTGGAGGAGATGTTGGACCTTTGAAGAAGTGGGCATACTTACTCTTTAACAGTGGCAAGCTTCTCCACCCCTGCAGTGAAGAGGCCGAGACAAGGTCTCTCCAGGCACGTGGGTAAATGTTCCTTTAGAGGGCAACAGATCTGAAGCTTGGGTTTCCCGTACATACCATATGAATGGTATGTACTCTCTGCTGCTTCCCAGCAATTGCAGCTTCCCAAACCCAAGATGTGTCTCTGCCTGTGAGCTAAGAATTATTAAAACACCATGTGTTCTGTAGCTGTTTGGAACCTGTCAAGCAGGACATGCAGATATTAAGTTACTTAAAACTGAGTTTCTGGTTGTGCTTAGTGAGTTTTGACCACCAAATAGGATATCTGATGGAATGGTGTATATCTGTTGCTCTTTTTGAGAATTAAGGCTGGAATTGTTTATGGCTTGCAGTTGTATGTGCCTGTACTGATGTTTTGATGATGATGATGCTAATACCTCTGTTTATGGCTGCAGGATGGTCAGATGATAGAGTGCCGCTGCTGTTATGGGGAGTTTGCGTTTGAAGAGCTAACTCAGTGTGCAGATGGTCACTTGTTCTGCAAGGAGTGCCTAATTAAATATGCTCAGGAGGCAGTCTTTGGCTCTGGGAAGGTAAGAATTCCCCAACTGGATGAGGGGAAAATGGGTAAATTGTTATTGGGAGATCACATTGTTGTTTGCGTAGTGTTGTTGCTTAAATCAGATGTAACTGCACCTCCTAGGAAATACCTGAACGGAATTGTGTCCTGAAATCCAAATCCAACAAGTCAGTCTCACCATCAAGTGAAGCCAACAACTTCACAATGGGTCTTTGCTGAATAGGATTTCAGTTTTCCTAACCTCCATCTTTTGTGCTCTATGCTTAGCAACTTGGATTACTAGGAAAACTTTCTGCAGCATTCATAGCAACAACAATAATTTGCACTCGTCTGGTTTTTATTTTCTACTTAATAAACCAATGGTATCTGCACAGAGAACACACTCATCTCTGACTTGGCCAGTCTCCTTCTACCTAAGTGTGTTTGTTCTTCATAATATCACTGTGATCCCAACTTAATTTGGGGGTTGGTTCCTCTATGATACTACTAACCTTCCTTGTCTCCAATTTAGCTAGCAATTAACCTGGTACTTAGCTGAGCTATAAACAAGTCATTAACCTGCTCTGAGGTGTGCATGCTCCTTTGCCTCGCGATATGATGATCAAATTGTGGGATGCTTTTGTACTCTGGGATCTATAGTTCATGTAAACATATAAACTGGCAGCTGTATTTCGTGTGACAGCATTGACTAGGATGCAACGTGCTGTTCGTGAGCAGAGTGCTAGTTCTCAGCAGAGACTGTACAGTAATAACAGGCCGCTATGTGGTCACGGTGGACTTGGAGTGAGTGAACTGTGATCCCAGCTATCAACAGCATCTTCATGCCCGGTGTTTGTTTGAGGCCTGATCTGTTTAACTAGTCTTGTTCTTTCTGTAGCAAACCCGTTCTCTGGCAGTCATCTGCTGACTTAAGCTCTATTCTCTCGAAGCAAGGCTCTGCGCCGGTTTATTTGGAAATGGTTCTGGGTACTGAGTCTTGTTTGTCGCTAGCATCATACTGAACCTGAGCTCTCTCCTTCCCACCCTAGTCAGAGCTCAGCTGCATGGAAGGCAGTTGCACATGTTCATTCCCCACCAGCGAGCTGGAGAAAGTGCTTCCGGAGAACATCCTCTGTAAATACTATGAGCGGAAAGCTGAGGAGGAGGTGGCTGCTGCCTGTGCAGATGAGCTTGTCAGGTGAGTGTCCAGCAGAGGATGCAGACTGCACTTACTGTTGTAGAAAACTGTTCCCTGAAACCCTAAATGTGTGCTGACTATGAGATAGGTAGCTTTCAAAGAGCTGTATTATAAATTCAGGCTTCTGCCTTCCCAGGTCTGTTTTTATTCAGGTTGGTCTGCCTTTGACTAGGAGCAGATTAAAATTCAATAGGCTTGTCTCCCCCAAGACTTGCTTGCCAGCTCTCTGCTGATCTTCTAAATTACATGGTCAAAAGCAGTGCTGAGCATATAATATTTTGATTGCAAACAGGGAAGTGATCGAAAAAATACGAGCAAAAAGGCAGTAGTCAGCACATGCTGGCGGCAGGCGTTTGCTTGGCAGCCTTATTAACTACCACATAGCTATTTGACTAAATCCGCTTTCAGCAAAGATGTGTTTGGCACTCTGCATTAATGGCATCTTATTTTGGGCTGCAGGTGTCCGTTCTGTAACTTCCCAGCTCTACTGGACAGCGATGTGAAGCGATTCAGCTGCCCTAATCCCCGCTGCAGAAAGGTAATTGGGGGTTATTTTGCCATTTGGTCTCTTCTGGAGTGTTGGGCAGGAGAGCTGGGAGGACAACTCACGCTTCCCAGTAGCAGGTGAATGAATATCTAATGTGGCTGCATGGGGAAGCAGTCAAAGTATTTGCTGGATCCTGCTGAGGTTCTATAAAATTGTGCGGCTGGACAGATGAGACAACAGTATTCCTTTCTTTCCTTGGAAGATGTTGGCTAAAAAAGCTTCTAGATGCCTTAGGCTGCTGTCTCGCATATACAGAAATGTTTTAAGTGAACAGGGAGCTGGATGTTTTAAAAGGCATAAAACCAAATTGTAATCCTTTATCTAATGAAACTTCTGGAGGGTGAGCTGAAACACCTTACGTGCTATCCTTAAGAGAATTAGCATCTGCATCTTTCTTTTATGCCGTCGCCTGAATACAGATTCAGTTTGAAGTGACAAAAAACTTGTTTGAAGAGCTCACTGAAATGTGTCCGTTCAAAGGGCAGAAGATCTTTGTGCTTCTCTCAAAGTTTGCTAATAGCCATAACGGGAGAATCGTCAGGCCCGATGGGGGACAGAGCGGGGAAAGCTTGCCGCTGCTGCTTCTGCACCATCTGTTCTGGGGAAAAATAGAAGCATAGAAATGTGTTTCCCAGCCTCCTGAATGTATGCAGCACCCCACTTACATCTGGTGCCAGTGAGCCGAGGCCAGTACAGCATCAGTGTTTAGCACTGAAGCTACAAGGCGTCTTGTGTAACTTTAGCCACAACAGTGAATTCTCGTGTAATATTCAGGGAACTGCCTGTCCCCCAGCACAGATTTCTGCTAATCACTGAAATTCCTCTTCAGTGCATTAACCTTGCGCTTGTAGCTGCCATAGCTTTGGGTTCTCGTATTGACGTGATACCACCATTTGCCTGTATTGAGAAAGTAATAGGAAGTCAAATTCTGTTGTCTGGAGACATTGAAGTTGCCAGCGGTGAACTTTGCATTCTGTAGTGAAAATTGAACTTACTGGCAGGGGAAGGCTGCTTATGAAAGATGCACAATTCCATTTTAGATCTCTAACCTCCAGATACGTTTTACTAACATCTACCTCTAGCATTTGGGAAAGAAATGTGATTCTGATGGATCATCCAAGTGTCATGAGCAAGGAGCTTTGCTAGTCACTAGGTGGCAATGTTGATTCACGTTTAAATCAGATTTTTTTTTTTTTCCCCAAAACCAGAGTTGTTTTCAAAATGTACATATGTCAGCACCACAGAACAAAATTCAGGCTCGAAGAACATGAACGCTTCCATGTGCAAAACAAATTGAAGCCACTTTTTTCCCTAAAATGTGTAATGCAGCACAGTAACTGTGGTAAGAGGGGACAGTGCTGAAATGTTCCTTTCCTTCTGGTTTGCTGTTTCATTTCCTTCCTAGCGTACTGCCTGTCCCCCCTCCCTGGGGTTGCAGCATTCCAGCGGGCTGGATTTCTAGTTTCCTGGACAGCTTGTGTTGATTCATTAGCTGAAAATCTGCTGAGTAGCTTTGTGCTCTTCTTAGAAGTCTCGAACGACCTTAGGATTTGAAGTTGAGGGTGAGGAATTCAGATAGCAGGATGTGGTGTTGTCTCACAGCAGCAACTGCAGTGGTTCTTCATATTCCTGCTATCTTGTCTCTCCAGAATGAAGAATTTCGGCTAATGCTCTTGCTTGCAGGAAACTGTTGCCCTTGGGGAGGAAAGGGCTAATCTAGGGAACTCTACGGAGGTTGGAGAGGATGCATTGGCTTTGCTAGCAGTGCCTCTGGCAGACTCTGTGGTGGTGATGACTGATCCTGGAAGGAGTCCTTCTCTGGTTGGAAGGACTGCACTTGCACAGCTGAACCTAAAGTAAGGGGAAGTGTGGAAAGCGAAAGGTCAAAATGTGCTGCTCCTGAAACCTCAAGGCTCTTCAAGGGCAGGGAGAAGAGGAGCAGATGGTGGTCCTGTTGTATTTCTATGCTCCATCACCTGGATCCTTTGTCTTGCTTTGAGAGTTCATGCTGATACTCTCAGGCTTTCCTTTAAATCTTGCAGAGAGGTTGATTCATATTTGGGCCAGCTATGGATGTCTTGTAAAGTAAGTGATGGGAACCAGCTGGAAGCCTTCATTTTGGCTGTATATATGTATGTTGGGCTCAATAATAAGAAGAGCTCTAGGTGTGCCTAGGTCACCGTTTATGCATCTCACCTGTAGTTCCAGTCATTTGCACCTTGCAGGGACCAAAATGTGGCTAATTGTAACCTCAGCAACAGACGGAGCTGCCGGTCGCCTTCAGTGACTGAACGGCTGCATGGAGAGCATGCAGATGAACCTGCACCATCTGCCAGGGCCACTGTGGCTCCAGCTGTGTGGTGTGAAGTTTGGCTCCTGGTTAGGTGGCCAGGGCTTGAATCTTAATATCACGAACTGCAGGGTGGAGGAAAAGCTTAATTAGCCAAGGAAAAACGTTGCCCAAGCCACCCTATGGATGCATTCTGTGTGTGCGCAGTCTGAGCTGGTGCTGGGGGAGAGGCGGTGTTTTTGCTCAGACCTGTTTGAGTTTTGAGGTTTTGCTCTATAATGGGTGGCTGACTGCGCATGGAGCCAGGCTTTCTGGCGACAGGAGGGTTTGCCAGCCTGCTCGGTCAAACCTCCATCTTACTCTGCGCAGGGATCCCTGCGTGGAAGCGGCGCTTGGATTTCTCATCTCTAATGATGCGGGCTTCTCCTCCCTGTGCTCTGACAGAGTAAACCAAAGCTGGCAATTCTGGTAAAACTAGGAAAGGCACATGTTGCTTGTTGACTTGTGCAGCACTGGGAAGTGAGCGTGCACTTTCGCATGTCGGGGGAAGTACTGTTTCGCACCAGAAAAGGAAGTCCATCCTTTCTGCTCTGCCTCCCTGCTCCCAAGACCCCATGTTGTTGGTGAAGACAAGGCTTTTGTTCCCGGGCTGCTTGCTGCTATCCCCGGCGCCGTGTTGCGGGGGGGGGGGGGGGGGGGGGGTGGTGTGGTGGGCCGTGGGTTCGGGACATCGTCTCCCCTCTTTGCAGTCTCAGCACAAAGCACTGCAGGGCTTTCAGCCAGCGAAGAGATGGGGAGGTGAAAGCTGCCGTTGCCATGGAAATAATGCATGCACGGAGCAGCGCTGTCCCTCCGGTGCCGGAGAGCTCGAAACCCTCAACAGTCATTTCATAGCCAGGCCACATTGCAGAGACTTGCCTTTCCAAGGCTTTTCCTTAAAACTCCTTTGCATAGCTTAAAATTTTTGTTCACTTTATCGTACCGAGTTGTTGCCTGCCTCGGTGCTGGCTGGATGCGAAGAGGTGATGGTGTATGGTTGCATGGAGCTAAATTGCATTGCCCTCGGACTGGGCAGCTGTCCCCCTTGTTCAGGGCTCCTTAGTGCACCCTGTTAATGAGGCCGTGTTTAGGGAGTGGGTTTGCCTGCTGGGCGTCTGAACTGTCATCCGGGAAAAATGAGCATTGATGTGCCTGTGTCACATGGATAAAATCCCCATTCTCTTGCCTTTTCGTCTTCTCTCTGGCCACAGCAATCCTTGTGTGTACATTTAATTTGCAGGACTAAGATGTCGTTTTAGGGGACTTCTTTTTAAGCTGCTAGAATGTCTCAGGATTGATTTCAAGGTGCTGGCTAGGAACAGATGCACCCAGCTGCTTTTAACCTTCATTTTCTGTTGGAAGCGAGACAGGTTTAAGCTTGTACAGAGCTCTGCCTAGCGAGCTGTGTCTGAACATGGCTTCTCTTAGCGGGGTGCTAACACTGCATCCACAACCTATGTTAATAAGCGTAAGTCGCGTTGTACGGTTTGCAGCAACTTCGACGTGAGTGGCCTTGCTGAAATAACAAATTGTTGCATGATCAACCAGACTTGAAGTTACAGAAGCAGCTAAGGGGCGGACCGCAATGCTTGTGATCTCGGTACCTGGTGTGGTAATGGGGCACGCAGCTGCTTGTGATTCAGAGGTAGGTAACAGCCCCAGCCACCTATGATCCAGTTACAAGTGTTTTGTAGGGTGCAAGGGGAAATGTTTGTGTAATCAAGTACCCAGCAGCAGGGGATGTGTTCGGGATGACATCGCCTTCCAAGGATGTCATCCAACACATACCACAGGGCCCATTACTTCTGTGCTAGAGGCTGGCCCCTTGCAGCCCGGAGCTGCCCTGCCCGACTCCAGATGCGCTGTGGTTTTAGGCTTAAGCTGTATCAAGATTTGTCACTGGCAGGGTGCGTGTGCAACATGGGGAAAAGAAAAAAAAAAATGTTCTGGTTGGAGAATTTGAGCTTGTCCAAAATGCCTCAGAGTAGGATGTGCATATGGAGAATTACTTAATTCTCCTTGTTTTGCAACATGTTTTCCCAGCTGTTGAAGTCTGCTGTCTCATTCAGCTTCCTGAGAGCAGTGCAAACATTTTGAAAGTCCCGTGGCCCCGTCTTATTCTCTGTTCAGCCATTCTTATTGCTGTTCTCTGTATGCTTTTCCTCGAGCCTATTTATTTAGATTTGATTGTTACTTAGAGCTTAGCCCCACAGCTTTAGTGGAGAGCAGAGCCAAAGGTGGCACTCACTTATGGCAGACACCCTGTAATTTCCTTCTGGTGGCAATGACCTCAAGAACCAACTCCCTCGTTTAAATTCCCATCCTCCTGTGTCTGTGTGAATGTGGCTTAGCAGAATTTGTTGGGATGAGGAAGAAAGGGAAATGCAGTGTGGAGGACCTTGCTACATGTCTTACTGGGGGGGTTGGGAATGGAGCACTTGTGCCTGCGTACGCTTTTGTCCGGAGGTCTGTCTCCCATTTGTCCGGGCTGGCAGAACAGTCTAAGCCATCTTTTCATCACTCTGCTATCTTCCTCCTCAGCACTGCATCCCTGAAACCTCCTGTTCTGGAGCTCTCCGCTTTCTCTTCCAGCTCAGTGCCTTCGCTGCGCCCTTTTTAAATGAGCGGTGCGCATGGGAACACGCTCCACTCTGTTACTGCC